TTACTTCAATCTTGTTTGATCTACAAAATGGCGAGCAATTGTTTGTTACCTCAAATCTCTTGTAACAGGCGAGCTGCGAGATATAAAGGACCATAGTTGAGGGACAAAAAACGGACAGCAGCTTTAATATCGATAAGTATTACGGATCTACCTGATATGCAAGATTGGATATGATCTTCTAAAGATGTTTTGAAAAGATTAAATATTCAACCGTAAATACCTCATGGTTGAATAAATAATTGCTCTGATGCCTAGCTGATCTATTCAGCTATGAAAAAAAATAGTCTTTATAAATAAAATAATTAATTTTCCACTAGGTCTAAATACCCCTTTACCCCAGCTTGCTTCTTAGCTTTGCTTTTCCAGTGTCCTTCCCATACATAAAAATGAGAGCTATATTAAAAAAATATTTGCACTGTAATTTAGTCATTATGGTTCATGTTCGCCATTAGCGTGAAGCGAGGAAAGGACCCAGGGCAGAGGCACTAAGCTTTTATTTTGGGAACAGTCTTTCGTGGCTTCTCGTTCCACAATGGCCGTTTTACATAAACAGAGCGTCGCAGGTGGAAGTAGTTGGAGTCAGTGCCAGTGTCGAGGTCTGGAAAGGAGACTGACTCATATGCTGTGGGGTCTGCCAAGTCCGAGCCCAGCCTGAACGTGTTTTCTTTTTTGGCAAGATTTAGACCGTTTTAATGCAAGAGCGTCCACAAACCATAAATAATTGAAAGCTGCAGAGACGTGCAAAAGTTGACCAGACCAAAAGCCATCGCGAGAGATGAGCTTCTAGAACAAGGAATGGGTGGAGCAAACGACGGAGCAGAGTTCAGGAGACTGGCGGAGGAGTAGTCGAAATAGTCTGCAGACAGAGATAGCGTACTGTAGTGGAGCCTGCAAATGCCCCATTAATGCCTATTAAGGCCTGAAAGGACCCAAAGGAAAGAAACAGCTTCGGGAGAACAGAGAACGGGCGCGTGAAGGTGTTAGAATGTAATGTCTAGGAATAGGAACTCCCGAATATTTTTTTGCACGTTTAATGTCTATCAGTTATAAGACTTAGTCAGAGTTAAATAGATGTGCCCATCTATGTAAGATTACTGATTCCTTGTTTAGTTTTGACTTGAAACCTTTGCAGCTGAACTACTATTGTTACGTTCCCTGTTCGTAGCTTGCTCTGATTTTAAGTACCCGCTTCTCCAACTAAAGTTGGAGCCCCTCCTTCTTTCTGACGCTGGTTTTTGACCAAAAAACAAGGCAGTAATATTCGAGCTTTGCCTGCCGGAGCGCGAGGGAGCGAAGGAGAAGGGGAAAGGATCGCGGCCGAACCTACGCTTGGTTCATACTAAGCGCCGCCAGCACTTTAGAGCACTTCAGTGATGCTTATCCTACTTGTGGTTAAATTTGTATGTGCGAAAGCGGGTCTGAGCCTGTTTCTGATTCAGTATCGGAGTGTCCTGAGACTCTCACGCGAAACCTGCATTCAGCATGTTCTGGCACTGCCATGACTCGGTTTGTGTGACTTCATTGCACTGTGCTATATGAGTATATAATTGTTTGGCATTTAGCCAGATAATGTACTCAGCTCAACATGGGTCGACTGTCTGCCTCTGACTCTGACCAGACTTTTCTGGCAGTCCGCTGTCTTCTTCGTGGCTTTACAAAGTTAATGTTTACTGACAGGCTTACGCTGTCTGATATTAATTTATTTATCTTCGACCTCACATCTTACATTCCTTTCTTTTTCTTCTTAATGGATTGAATATATGATAAATATAAATATATATATATTTATGTAATAAATTTTCTTTTTTTCCTTATATGGTTTCTTGGATATTGAATACTTATATACATACATGACTTAGGATTTAACACAGGCCCAGGAAAGTGACAGCCTGATTTTCTTTACAGGATGTTAAACAGGCCCTATCCTGACAAGTTCACTACCGGCCACTAATATGGTGCCATTTGAGCACTTCATAAAAATACGAGCTGTCACAATGTCAAATTTTCCCTACTGATGTTGCATGTTGAACAAATTTCTGTGATAATAATTTTATGTATTCTTGTCATGACTCTGATGCGGTTTGTTCTAGTACAACTGTATTACTATTTTTGTTGCTGGCTATTTTATCTCAGAATCATAAATAACGATAAAGAATAGTAGATAGACGATTTATATACCCATTCAAATAAAATTTTAATAACATACTAATATCTTATTTTAAGGGTCTGGGTGGATCCAAAATATCTATCTTTATCTAACAGAAGATCGGATTTTAGACTGCATATTGTATCTATTGAAGCTACCTATACATACATTCACATATTATTAACTATTACATTACATACAATAATTATAATTATATAATATTTAGTAAAACAAAGTATCTTCGATGCAATTTCAAATATTTTGTTGCGATTCCCGCACATATGTATACTTCGTGCAGCAGGAAGTAGCGTCTCTCAGTTTTACACGCACCTGTAATGAGAGGTGGGAAAAGCATAGAAAGAAAGTTCTGCTCTAATGTTAATTCTTGCAATTCGCTTATGTCTTTTTACCTAAAGACCTATTGGGTTCGAACTTTATAATATTTTACTTGCTAAAATTTGTTGGCTGTTTTTTTTCGCTGCATGTGTCTCTCTCGCTTCTCACACCAACATCAGCAGTTAAATCTCGCTCCCGTTTTGGCTAAAGCTTCTAGGTGCCTCACTACTTTTTGTCAGCGTACGTGTATTGCTTTTGGCCATAAAAAAATAACGACTAAAAGTGCAACGAGCACACACATGCAAGCAAAAATGTTCATATGCATGCGTGTATGTGTGCAAATATGTGTATATGTATGTATGTTCAATGAGTGTTGTGAATAACACACCGGAAGTAAGGAAGCTAACGGAAAATGTCTGCCTTGCACTCTTGCTTGCACAACTTTCGCTTTTGTTTTTCTCTGTCTCGTCGCACACTGCGTGTATGAAATTGATTAACATTTTGATTTCCATTAGGCAAGAGAAAGGAGGTGAGAAGGAGCACTATCTACTATGAGTAATATCTGTTTCATATTTTTAAAGATACAGCATTGGGGAATGTTTATCAAAACTTTTACAGCTACAGTTTCATTTGATTTTTCAGCTGAAGGGGGTTCCCTTCACAAATGAATGGAATTATTGGAAATTAGCTTGGTAAAATATGATTATAATCCGATTATGTTGGCCTCCCTCCGTTACTAATTCTGCCTAACTACTGCATGATAGAGTTGTACCGACTATAACCTCAGGTATGGTAATTCCAACAACGGTCAACCATCACTCCTTCCCCATTTATAGACCCCAACCGACCATTCCCTTTTGATTCGTTCCACGTCTCGGGTAAAACTGATGACTTTCCATTTTCTGTTTCGGTTCTTTTTTTTTTTGGCTTAATTATTGTCGGAACAATGTGATTTTCGGGCTAGACTTGAAGGGCACTCAAAAGGTCGTTACTGTGTATAATATACTACATATTAAGCAGCCTTGCTAGTATTCTAGGATATTTCCTCCGCTCTTTAAATGAAAGAAAGTTCTGACAGAAAGATAGAGAGAAACTAACAATGACTTTATCGTTTTGGTAAATATTAAGTCTATTTCTTACTTTCACCATTCTTGTGGAGGATACCCTCGGGTGTCGATTATGAAAGTGGCCGTTCGCTTTTAACTTGAAAGGTACCGCAATTAATCAAGCACGTACCGCGGGCCACGGACATTGGCAGCCTAAACATTTAATTCAATAATATGAATTACAGGGCATAAAACAAATTTGGGGCAGTAAAAAGCGAATTAAATTAGACTAACTGGTATGATAATTCTTGCATTAATTGAAAAAAGGAAGAAAGGTATAGTTAATTATGAAGGAGTTTATTCATGTAATATTATTATACAAAATAAATCGAAATTTCAAAGAAAGCTCTTACAAGGAAAAGTGATTCGCAGTTAATAGCTAAATAGGATGGATAGGAACAGGTATGTGCCTTTCAATTCATATATTCATAAAATAAACATAAAAACTATATAATATTTGGACGAATATTACAGTCGAAAAGCATATTCCTAGGAAATAACCAAACTTGTATTTCTTCCTTTCTTCCATTTATACTGGGATCCCTTAAACTTTTTTTTTAACAATTTACAAATGTTTAATTCTAAGTCTATATATTTTCCTATTTGCTCAATGCCCTAATGTGGTCTATGTTTCACTCCAACTGGTAAGTACTAACTAGTACTTCAACCACATACGTAGATACACTGTCAAAGAGCACGGCCACGAGCTTTTGGTTTTTTTTTTGCAATTTGTTTTGCTGCTACATCAAATCACCGACAAAGCTACCCCCTCTTCCATACCCCGCTTTTCCACCCACGACTCCTAGCTGTCTCGTGTTTTTGGCTGTGGCGATTGTTGGCTGCATTTTTGCTCAATGTTGATTCGCCTAGGCCTATTCTCGGACCTGAGCCTACGATTCCTAGGATTAGCTTTTAGCTCGCACCGTGGTGCTGCGCAGGCGCCGGATAAGCAGTGCGAGGACTACCAAGAGGACTAGAAATTGGCAGTTTTATTTGATTCTAACTCCTAGTTCCTAGCTCGATTCTATCTGAAGCTCCCTCGATTAGGTCTGAAGTTGATTAAGTTACTACGATTCCGCTCGCAAAAGTTGGCAAAGAGTTCTCTCTTTCTCTGACTCCATATCTTTTTGCGGTAGGTTAGTGTTAGACAGCGGATGGATGACTGCTCTTGGCCGTACCCTTTGCCCAATCCCAGGCCCAGTTCCACCCTCGGTCAAGCCCCATCTCTTTTCCTCTCTGTATGGCTGTCTCGCTCTCAAACAGATGTTTTGTGACAGCTTCGGCTCTGGACCCGAAATCGTGTTTTGTTTTGGCCTGTTCCGAATCCCATTTCGTTCCGCAGGCGCCCGGCTGAACCTGCTCCCACGGCATCCTGCCGACTCAGTTGTGCGACAGTAGCCGCTTTGTACACATTCCTCGTTGTTCATCGTACGCGTCATTCTCTTTGTCGAATGCTACGTGTCTTGATTCGTCTCGTTCGCCTTACAGTTCACGTTTTCGTCGTCATCGCCGTTAAGTTCACGGTGCGTTCAACCTGTAACCTTTGTTTTCTCTCCCGAAAGAATCATGTAAATAGAATGTAATAAATATTTTTCTTTTAACTAGATCTACCGATTTTTTTTGTTTTTGTCAAAATGGCTTTTAGTTTGAAATTTTACCTTGAGCCTAGGATATCTAGGCCGGTGGATGATTGGGATTTGTTTTTCTCATCCTTTTGGGCAAGTGTCGAGCCTTCTTGATGACGCCGCCGTAGGTGGCCCTTCGATTACAATACTGTTTTTTTTTTTTCTCTTTCTCAACTCCAAGTCGCCTGCCTACATGGACACCAGGCCAGAGGATGTCTCTACGCCTAAATTTCTGGGCAAAACGCTGTTCGGCAGCAGCTTAAACTTCTTCGACATCGCGTCTGGCATTTCGCTGCTTCAGATTGCGACTGCCGGCCACGTCGGGAATGGTGGTCGAGGGTAGATGTAACCACAGAACTCATAGTTCAAGTCGTTCACATTTTCATCTTCATCCTCCTCCTCTTCATCTTTTTTCTTACGTTTGGTAGCTGGCGGTGCATGCTGATCATCGGGTACATCGTTGGCATCGTGAAGCAAGTGGCACTGCAAATGCTAAACAAATTGTTAAAATATCAAATTGCGCTGAATCTCCTCAGCCATTCGCGCCCGGTTTTCACCCACGACTCACGCTGGCCACATAGCCCAAGGGCTCTGGCACGCCCAGAAAATGTTTCTTATTGCGGTTGGAAATTACCGCTGTGGATATCTTTGTACTTCTATTTGGTTGTTTTTCTAATATTTGTAAATTTCACAAACAGAAGAAATTCAGTGCGTGTTCTTCTTCTTTCCAGTCGGCCAATAGTGTTGGAAAACGGTCGTGGCATTAGCTAGAGGTGAGTTATAGTTTAGTCGCTGTGACTAAGTTCCAGCTGGTTGCCGTTATTTTAAATAAGTTATAACTCATTTATGAGTTAATTTTTCAAACTCGGATCAACTGTATATAGAAAAAGCTTGAAGTGGTACACTGAAAAGTGATTTCGAAATGCGATGACAGTTGTGCTCATCTCTAGCATGTAACCGGTATCGATAGCAGCACCTTTTTTGTGGAAATCAATTTTGATAAAAAACTTTTCGCGACAGGTTGGAGCTGAGGCGCCTGTTGATTGCCTCCACATCGTTGAAGCTTTTCCCCCAGCTGAAGGAGATTCGCAATCACACTTTGATCCAGCACTTCAGTCCCTATAAGTCGGCCGACATGTACAAAATAGCACTGGCCTTCAACATCTCGGAGAGTGATCTGGAGAACAAAGTGATGCGCTCATTCTAGATGGCCAGAGCCATGCTCGTCTCAACTGGTATAAATAGATCCTCTACGTCAGGGACGCCAATTCAATTTGGCAAGGAGGAGAATTATAAAATTTAGTCCCCTATTAAATATGCGAGAAGTAATGGAATATTCTCCGTCGCCTCCCAACCACTTTTATCTGCTTCTCATACGCACTGTGAGCCGTTTTCAACAAGTCTCAAAGGTGTTCGCCTGGATCAATTTTCTACATCACTAGGTATAAAACTGATTAAATTTTGAGCATTGATTTTCTCCTTCCCTGCCTCTTTTGGCTCGTGTGAACTTTAATCCGGCTAACTTTTTTAAAGTTTTCCGTCAATGGACTCGACTTCCCCAGTCTCTGGCAGTAATTTCTTTTACACTGTCTGTAGTTTCTCCTCCTTGTTCCTGTATATGTGTGTGCCCAGATGTTCATTTGTTGTTGACACCCACAGAACATGCACACAGAGTACTTCTCAAAGTTTGGTTGCAGCAGAAACAGAAACAGAAAACGGCAGCAGCAGCAGAAACAGAAACAGCAATAGCTCCAACAGCAGCCACAGAAACAGCAGCTGACTAGCTCGATTTGCTCTGCCGACCGCTGGCTGCGGCTTGTTATGGATACTCTTTAGTGGAATGGGGGTGCAATAGTTCACCAATTGAATTGACTGGGAAAGGAGTAAATGGTTAGAAAGTGGAGCATAGGGGAATGACACTAAAAAAAAATAATTAAGGATTCTAATGCAAGTATAGCGTATTTTCAATTAAAACGTCGTTGAAAAAGGCGTCAAGGATTCTGACTGCAATATGATCATCTGATTGAGAGATGTTGACATCGATACGAATATAACTTGATCATCAGTTGATCATCAGTATAAGAACTGATAAGAACACGAAATCCATGTTGAAAATATACCATGTTGCCTTGTCTGAACAAAATCTGAAAACATGCAAGCGCTCCGCGACAGAGAAACCAAAACCCACTTTTATTGCCAAAGTTTTACCAAACTCCTCGAGATTTTGTTATTGATTTTCTTCAAGTTTGATCTTCCCTGCTGTATTTTGCTACAATTTCCTTTGCTCGATTTTTTTTTTGGGAGTGCTTTAAGAATACCTATCCTGCGCTAATTTTTCATTGCACATTTCTTACGTTTCGTCGACGACAGCCGGAAAAAGATGAAAAATGTGCAACCGAGAAGGCAAAACTTTTCTTTTGCACTTTTAGTTTGCTTTTGGGGGTGCACAAAAATGTTAAGTAAAAAAACTTGTGCAATTAATTGGCACTACAGTTGAAGGGGTGGAGGTGGAACTGCAGCGAGAGATGCCAAACAAAGGCTGATCTAGAAGCAGGGAAATTGGGGCTAAACTCATTCGATCGGAGACCAGAGCTTTAAGCATTCTTTAGGATCAATCGTTTCCTTGGATTCGGATTTGACAGTAAAATCAGCAAATCAGCAAGAATTTGGAAGTTGGGCTTTCTTTGAGATAGTCCCACGAAACACAACAATTTGGTTATTTATTGTAAGTGCTTAAAAATACAAAGTCAAAAGTGCTTTGTTCTTCACAATTCCATGGGACATTTTGACTTATAGACCTATAGACCTATAAATCAGTAGAGTATCGCTTTGAGCGATAGTCGTGGACATCTTCTTGGCCACTAAGTCGATTTGATAAGTTAAAAAGATTTCCACACCACAGATTGCCTATACATTAACATTACATTATATATTTTTGTACATCTTAAATGTATGCCGAGGCCATGTTGCATGGAGAAAAATGAAGGGCCTACCTGCCACAGGCATTGCCTTCTTCCTCTGTATCTTTCTCTCAGGCTGCGTCTCATGTTGTGTCTTCTTATGCTCTGTTTTTCTCTCTCTTAGTGTTCTTGTTATTTATCTGGCTTGCTCATATTTGAGTGTGTGTCTTTTTTTTCATTTGCCACGAGGGCAAATCGCACTTCCACACACTTTTTACCCCCGCATACATTTGTAAATAGTTTAGATAGGGAGAGAAAGAGATAGAGCAGCAGTAAGAGGAAGAAAGGCGTGAAAAGTGCAGGAATTCTCCCAGCTGTAGGAGCACATATGTAAACCCGTATGCAAATGCAGCGTAGATGAGGGGGAAGCACTGCAACTGGCAGAGTATCTCTGTTATTATCTTATTATGATAAAATGTTCTGCATAGCTGCTCTTAAAATTAGGTTTTATAGAAAGAAAGCGAAACCCCCTTTCTGGGTTTCTGACTCAAAAAAGTTGCCATTTTTGGGTAGTCCGATCTTTAAAGAAACACGTTCAATACGAAATATAGAAATTGATAGTAATCAAGAATATATAGACTGTATGGCATCGGCACTATATTTTGTGAATTGTTAACGTCTGATCAGAACTATACTAATAACATTCGGAAGAGTGTGTACTGTTAAGAAGCTTTATAAACACAAGCTACGAATTTTCAAGGCTGGGAAACTATTTCTCCATCAATCGTAAACAATCTCTCCCTGATCTTTCTCTCTGATCTACTTTTCCCAGGAGTTTCCCTCTCTTTTTCTCTGTCTGTTGACTAAAATTATTCTCTTTGGATGGAAAGCAGAAGAAACGAGATGGAATTAGAGCAGACAATAATCTACATATATACATAATTATCTGTTTGGGGTTTGTCTGTCCTTAAATTTGTATTCTATCTCTCTTTCCCGGCTTTTTGAATGCATTTTCTATCATAAAAAATGTTGAATTCAACATAAATTCAAAATATCAAAATTTAAGTATGAAGTATGAACCGTCAAAACCGCAAAACCCGGTCCCCTGTCTCGGCAACCTGTCGTAAGCGTAATAAACATAATCGATTACGGGAAGAAGGAGGTCCTACATGTTTATCGCTAACATCTTCGAGAAACATCCTAGACGAAGGCGCAAGGCAGCGGGTCCCAAATCAATGGCTGAAAGTTTAATAAGCTGAAACGGTGCTATAGATAAAATGGTAGAAGGAACAAGGCAACGATATAGATTTTGTATTGCTTCGATGGAGAGATTGAGCCTGGAGGACAAGAAATGTATCTTGTATCTGGCGGTAAGCACGTGATGTGCATTTTAATATCGTTTCACGTTCTGCCGCCTCTCACCAACTGTGTGTTTACTTGCTTTAAAGCTAACTTCAAAATCTCCTTAGCTCTTTAAGTTAATTTTTAGCCTGGTTGAGATTTTCGACCAGGCGAGAGATTTCCGGGCTCCTATAGTTCTTCCTTTGATTGACTCTTTTTTCGGTCAGTCAGTAAACCAGACAACAGGACAAATTTTCCCCGGGCAAGGGAATGACTCGACTTGGCGACTAGAGATTCCTCCCGCCCTATTCATTGTTTTCGCCTTCTTGCTGCCTTCTTATTATATACCCACAAAAACTGCCATAGCAAGAATCGGCTCTACACGTCTTCCTCGGGGCTTAGGTGGTATTTTTTTTTGTTTCTCGCTGTCTCTCTGCTTGTTTGTGTGGCAGGCGTTGACCTTCCATTGGAAAGGGTTAGAAGGAGAACGAGCGAATGGATGCACGTTGAAGGTTATTAAAGATTTATCTGGCAAGAAATTGATGAATGTGCTGGAAGACACGATATTAAAGTTGACTAAGAAGATTAATCTGCTCTGGGGAAAACTTAAAGAAACGAATAGAAGCTGCGTGTGAAAAAGTAAGGTATAAGATAGCATAGAAAAATATAACAAAATTCTATTTTCTGTTAAAAAAAAAATTTTAGTTTAGGATAACTTTCACTCTTTTTATATTTCTTCGACTTAAGGCCATTATTAAAGCCATTTTAGGGATTTGCAAAATGTTTCCCTTAACTGTAAAGAATCATGTCTGTCCATCCTTTCATCCTAGCCATCCCCACTAGCCACTTCTTTAATAAGAGTGAAGATACGCGAAAATATTTATACAAAAATTTGTATGCCTTCCGGCGCATTTATGCGACTGAAAATTATGGAATTTCAGCCTCCCCTTTTCCCTGTCTATCGCACTGGCCTTTATTTCTCGAAATATTTTCTGGATAATTTTTATGTAGAGGAATTTTACGGTGTTGGGGTGGGAGTCGATTCCATTGTGGATGTTGTGGTAGGTTAGCTTAGGTTGAATCGGTGGCTGGAAGGAGTTCCTCCAGCTCACTGCGGTTTTCTGTCGTAAGATTATAATCTTAAGGGTAATAAAGGGTAGTGCGTCGAGCATCAATGAAATTATTTTCTATACCGCCAAATTTCTATCGCATGTCTCATGTAAAACATTTTTTTATGCAAGAAATTTGTGTATAAACCAGACTAGTGGCATTCCTGGAGCCAATATTTGAGAATATTTAAATATATTGACATATAAATATATACCCAAAACGGGCTCAGACTTACATCAGTTGAAGCTTTTCTGGTTTTACGATACTATAACCCAACCAGGCTAATCCAATGGAAACCATAAAGCATAAAAAGGGATCACCAGCACGGAAAGTGCTCAGCTCATTAGAATCATCCTAATCTTAATGACTTAAAATAGCCATTACATCCACATAAGCTATCGGTTCCAGCAGCTCTGGTTCCG